ACATATCTACTTTTCTTCCTTTAATTAATTCATACTGTATGCTATTTATTAGTGGTATCTACGGTTGAAGAGTCAGAGAAGTCAAGACAGTGGTCATGGCATTATGATCGATACTCTGCCCCTTCGTATATATGTACAAAAGGAACAAGACTTCAATTGCATTGCTACAAACTACCGTCTTAACTCCATTTATTCTTCCCATTTATTCTGTTTATATTCCAAGTCACAATTTTGCTCATGTCATAGATGTTAGATGAGGATGATGGCCCCATAGATGTTAACCTCTGCTGCCCCTAATGTCTTTGGTCAATCACACTTTCCACAGAATACCTTTGTGGAAAAGAGAAAAACAACAAAGATTGGGTAACTAAGCCTAGTTGTACCCATCCTGCTAACAGTAAAAAAAAAAAATTAAAAAAAAAAAACCACAAAAAACAGTAGCTAATTTTGGCATATTTTGTTCAGTATGTCAGAAACACAATCAAAGTCCAAATTCCAATTTTGCCCCAATCACGCTTATGTTCTCTTATGCAAGGTAGGATTTTTAATCTAGAGATTATTGGCCAAACTAATATATTATTATCTACATCTTACTTTTTTTTTGCAATTTTTTTTAAAAAAATTTAAAACACACAAACAAACATACAATACATCTTTTCGGAACAGAGCATTGATCCAGTCTTAAATTTATACAACTTTTTGTTCATCTTTATCAGAATTTAACATATTCTATTTTTGCCATAACACTTATCACATATCTCAACTATTACTATCTTATAGAAAGCTAACTCATATTAACTTGATCAAAGCAATTACTCTTCTATTAATCCACCTTAAATCTTGATTCAATTAATACCTCATAATACATTTCACAATTCTTACTCCAAATATTCACTATTAAAAATACAATTCAAATACATATTTCTAAATCTTATTTCCATTTCTAGAACTTCCTTACAATTTATTATTACTTCATATAATATTCATTAAGTCTTTATTTAATTATTACTTCATCAAATTTAAATCTTTTCTCTAATCTTGAAAATATACCAATTTAACATTTAAACAAAGTTCTTAATTTAAATAATACAACATAATACATTCATCACTATTTCCCTAAATTCTGTCTATTTAACAATACCATTTATATAAAAGCCAATTTAAGTAAGTCTTATTTAGTAAATCATAATCCTATATCATTTCAATTTTCTTTTCTTTTTTCTTAAATAAATGTATTGTTGAAGATATTCAAATTATTACAATTGTTATAGGTATTTAAACAATATCCCAATTATTATAGCCATCAATTTTCTCAGATAGTACCATCCAACATCTCAATAAAAATTAATTCATTATATCCATTGATATATTTTCTTTTTACATAATCTAATTTTCATATATTTTAGCTTCAATCCTTATTTCAAGTCTAGGTATCTATAACATATTCTTCTCTCATTTCTATCTTTCTTTTTCTATCCCCTATTTTGCCCACTGTTAATCCCAGTGTAATCATCTATTAGCTACATTTTACTAACCATACATATGTTACCTATAATTCCTAGTTGGTGACATGTAGGCAATGGTATGCTAGCTTGCAGGATAGTTTCTAAATTAGAGATCCTACTTTGAATGCATAGGATGCAACCCATACACTGGATGCAGATAAAAGAAGGATTGAGTGAATGAGTGAGTGAGTGAGTGAATGAATGAAATGAAACTATTTTGATTTAATATGGTGGAGCTTCTTAGATGTATATTTATATTCATGGGAATCTAAAAAATGTTTATTTGTGAGGTCATTTGGCAATGTTGTTATGCCATATGCCCGAGTATAAAAATAATATCTCTTCTTTTAATTGTAATGCTGGGTTGATTCAATGTAGATTGAAGCTGAACTTAATGAAGGCCTGCTACATTTTAGACCAAGTGTTGTTGTTGCTGAAGACTATCTATATAAATAGGTCATCAAGCTTCAACCATGGACCCCCTTTTTTTAGAGTTATAGTACAGGAATATATGGAATGATAATAATTCAGATTTTAAGATAAATCCATTAAAGCTGCTAGTTTCCAAAAGATTTATAGTCTACCCCTGGCCATAGATAACAATATATTTCAATCTAAACACCTCTGAGCCTTCTACTTCAAGAGTAACATTGTCACTGATAGTAAAAGGTGTTTCACTGTCCATGACATAATGCATACAAATTGGATGGAAGCCCCCCCCCAATACTTAACAGATTTAAAATAGACAAGAAATCACTTAACCCCCTCCAAACCCTGGAAAAATGCAAAATCCAGCCCCATCTATAGCGCAGCCCTGGCTCTTCTGCATCACTGCTTCCACCACTGAGTTCTCCCTTTGCTCCCTTAATACTCAGTATTAAGTATCTCCCTATTTAACAGATTACATTACATGAAGGGAAGGAAGTCTTGTGGAACTCCAAGCAGTGAAATACATTTAAAGCACAGTTGACATATAGATTGGATTAGAGGTATTTTCTCCTTGTTTCCAAAGGCAGTATTGTTCCAATTGTTGCTATCCAGGAGCTAAAGGAGCTAGGCTGGGCTGGGAATGAGTGACTAGTCACAATTAGCTGGTGAGATTCCATCAGATATTTTTAAAGTTGAACATGTTCTTCAGCGGGAAAACTGGGACATTTTACTGCTTTCCAACATATTGAATATCAATTTTGTTATATTTAATTCTCATCTGTCCCCTAATGCATAAGGAAATTGGCCACTGATTTCTGAGTACCTGATATTTTTCATTGTTTTATTTATGGTAACTTAAGTAAATATTTCCTTTAATTAAATATTTTTCATTTTGGAATATCCTGGAGATATATTGAATCAAAAATGATACATTTCTTTGACAGAGTTTTCATTAGTCTTGATAGAAGAGTAATTAATAACAGTGAAGCTTTCTGAGTTTGGTTGGCAGAGACCATGAATGTAAGGTGGAAAAATATTCAATTGAAGAGCCTCAACGTAAGGCTTGCCTTACCTATGAATCATTTGGGGCTGGATAATTCTACTGCTTGTGCTGTCTGTCCATGATTGAGAAAACAGGACTGTTATCAAGCATCAGACTTTTTTTTTTACTTTTGTACCTCCCCAGTGGAAAGAAATCCAAACAATGAGTGCAATATGATTTGATAAAGAGATTTGATAGACTTGACAATCAGACATTGTTGAAAAGGAACCTGGTGGCTCCCTAACATAGAAGTGTTATACAACATGATGGTAAAGCATATGCTTGGTATGCAGAAGACCCCAGCTTCAATTCCTTGTACCCCAAATCTCAATGGTTTCCTTGGACAGTTCATATAGAAATGATTAGCTGGCAGTTGAATCCACAGGGGATGATAGTATCAACATTGGCAAGAGGACAGAAAGAACATTATGAAGTAAGCCCTGCTCCATTTGTATGCAAGTCATTGAACAAATATTCCAAAGGGGTGGTGCTTGCATTATGATGCTCCATCTGCCATCTTGCTGATTTTGACCTCCAGCAGTGCAGCTGTTGATTGGGTTTGTGGAAACTGGTTAGGCATTTAACCCATTTCTTAGCTACACTCCATATACAGAGTCCTACATTTATTATAAGGACAGATTTCACGTAAGACTCAGGTGTCCTCAAACTCTTTAGCTTATCCAACCCTGCATGAAATGACAGACTGTTCATCAATCCCAAATATTTACTGTATGAAAATAATTCAATAAATACTACTTTGATGAAAAGTACTACAAGCAATGACTATAACAACAATAATAGAGACAACTCAGAGCCACTCTTGCTGGCGGCTGACAATCCAATCCTTGGTAACACTGCCTCACCACTAGCCAGGCCCTATCTTCAAGACTAAGGACTGGTGTGGAGCGCTTCAAAGACCTCCCCAAATTAATTGACCCCAACAGAGCATCCATTATTTATCAACCACTGAATGACTCCCCAAATATTTACTGAATCCCATTTGATTCTAGCCATTTATTGACCCCTTGGATAATCCCATTGACCCTTTAGGGGTCATTAAAGTGAAAACAACCAACCTGAACACTGGTGCAAACATAGACAAAAAATTGTTGGTTAACCTGCTTAAGAATGTTATGCAAATTCAACCACTAAGTGTATGGGGTATGTCTCATGCAAAAGACAATGTGTTTAACGAGGAGAGTTTGTGTATATATACTAAATCTTCAATATATATACATTGGGTTAGGGTTAGGGTTAGGGTTAGGGACAGGCTGATCCTCCTGTCTATTTCCAATTATTCTGTACTGTGTTTTTGTTATCACCAAACACATTCCATTAAAACGTGGCGTCTTTGAAAAGATATTTATTCACATATTTGTTTGTTAGATTTATCCTGCATTTCTTCTAATTATTCAAGATAACAATTCACCAATTTCTCCCTAGAACAGCAATGTAGGGGTTGACCCAAATTCACCCAGCATGTTTTATGGGGGAGGATGGATTCTCCTCATTTCTTCTCCAACATTTTCACAACTATGCTACATGAATGTTCTGTTTGGTGTTTGTTTCAACACATACATTTTGTCACTTAATATTCATGGAGAAAATCAATCTATGTGGTTGCTAGGGATCAAAAAAATTCTTGGCAAATAATCCATCAATGATTTGGAATTGGAATTAATATTCCATTTCTAGCTAGCTAGCTAGCTAGCTAGCTAGCTAACTAACTAACTATATATATATTGTATTTCTCATTATGGAAGAGGCTAGTGTCAAATCCTAGTGCTTTCCCCCTCATTAATATTATTATTCAGATAAACAGCATTTAACTCCAAGCAATATTGAGCAGCTAATCATCTTAGAAACTATACACAGAAAAAAGAATGCATACTTGTAAGTCTAATACCTCATTGGTCTTAATACAGCAGAAAAAGCACATTTTGTTCCCCTAAATTGCTAGGATAGTCACATTCAAAGAAATCATATTTTCCCAATCAAATAAATATGTAAGTATGTTTCTGTACCAAACATCCTCTGCATCTTCATCGCACTCTGCCCCAAACTGACAAATGTCACAGGTGGATGTTTCCTTTTGAATGGTTTCTCCCGAACCTTCACTCCCTATGAGAGAAAGACAGAAGTCAAGAAAAAAAATGCTCACGCCTTTCAAAAGGGCACAAAATCATCATTCATATCCATCTTTGGGAATACAGAAAGTTTTGTAAACACAAATGACAACAGGCATGTCTATGTTCAGCTGCAACCTCTGACTGTGAATTGGAGTAGACTGAGCAAAGAGATCCAGATTTGAAAGACAAAAACAGATTTGGAAATAATGTTGGTTTTCCTGCAGCACCTATAAACAAGGCTAGGAAAAGACTGATAGGTGCTATGTGTGTGGCCATGCAAGGTGTGTATCACATTTTGACCTTTAGTTTCAGATATCTGCATAATCCTAATTTTCAGTGTTTGGGTTATACTAATTCAGGCACCTCTGTATGCAGCTGGTAGTTCTGGCTTTCAAAAGTTACCAAGGTAGAGGAGATAACCTTGAAGAACAGAACACCAGCTAAGTCTTGAAAAGAAGATGGAGAGGAGGAACGAGGAAGGAACTCAGAATACTCTGCCTTGGTTCTCTTGAGTGTAAAAAGAGAGAAAGAGAAGCTTTCAAGATGGGTTATTATACCCTGCAACAAAAGAGTTCCAGTAGATTCCTGGACCTGGCATATCTCACAGGGCTAACCCAACCTATAGAGAAATGTTTACATGTAGAAGCAGAGAAGACTAAACATTTGGTGGACGATGATGGAATCCCCTGGTCTCTGTTCAGCACATTCCATCAAGATACCAGTAGCTTTGTGTTTTACACTAAATGAAAGCTGATCTTGGTTTCTTAATGATGCAGAAGGACGGAGATGTTGGTGAGGCACTTGGAGCCATTTGGACTAGACCAGTACAGAGATATCAGTGATACATAAAAAATAAAATAAAAGCACATACTATGGTGCTGCATGTGGGTTTTGCCTGGGTCATACACATACTCCTACTTATATCTCTAGATACTGGTCCTTAATGTAGTATCAATCCTGAGTCTTAAGGTGATGCTCGCCCTTTTTCTCTTTGGTGGCTATTTTCTCTTGCAAGATGCCCTCAGCAATTTTAGATAAAAGAAAAGAGGAGAAATGGCTCTTAAGTTAGATGTTGTATTTGTTTCTAAAATTAGGAGAAACCCCATGGGATGCGTGCAAGATGTTCATGTATTGTTTATGATAAATTTATATTGTATTGTTTAATTTTTGAGGTATACTTCATTTTAGTTTACTCACAAATGCTGCCCAGAATTGGCCAGATGGAGATGGTTTATAAATGATATGATGTAAAAGAAACAAACAAGCAAAGAGGTCCTTTGAGTTTTAGCTAAACTGTGACATTATTTATCAGCAGGGGAACAGTTCCAATAGAGTTGAACCAGATCCCTAAAGGAGGGCCCATCAGCAGTGCTAATATCTGCAGATACCTCCTATAGTGTATTTGATGCTCTCACGTCTGATTTTAACATTTAATTTTTTTCAAGAACTTAATGTTTAAAATATTTTAATAATATACTTAATTTTAAATATATTTTTTTAAAAATATTTTCATTACCTGCCCACACCTTTGCTTCCAAAAATGTATCTGGAATTCAGTGTTCTTTTCTGATTAACATGTACATTTGATCTGGCTCAGCTTTAATAACCAGTCTGCCTTCTTTGAAATTGGTATGTTGTTGTGTATTGTGAGAACAAGGATATGGTTTGGCATTTTGATCTCAAATCTCATTTTGTGTTCTACTCTGTCTCCTAGCAATGATTAGTTTTTGAACCTAAATCACTCCTCCTTCTACACTGAATTTTGGGATCAAAAGTGGTTTTTGTAGTTTGGAGCCCAATAGCCTCCTCTGGCTTCTTGGAAAAGCCACTTTTCTTTTGGTCTCACCGGTTCAACTGAGAAATAGCCACAGCCACCATGGGAGTCATTTGGTCAAAGCAGCCACAACTTTATCTCCAAAGTCCAAATGTTCCAGCAGCCTCCCAAAGCTAGGGATTCTTGGAACACTACCAAATATTGTTGAGCTTCACTTGCTTATGGTTGCTATGAGCTCAGTAGGGACTGCAGCCAATCTTGGACGAGTTGCAAAATAATTTTGGAATCTTTCCTTCTTTGCATCGTTTCTCTATTTTATCAAAAGAAATGTCTGTATCCAGTTATGAATTTCAGCCACACACACAAAAAAAGAAAAGACAAACAGTTTTCTTTATGATGATATTCTTAGATCAGAAGCATTTTGTGATTTATTCTCTTTCGTCTTTAAAATTATGAAAACAGAAATGGGTTATATAATCCCCTGCACCTGGTTCATTTTCAAAGAGTTACCAAACTTGACTCTGATGTACAGACACTGTAACAGTAAAACATCTTAATTCCAATCAAAATCCTAAAAGGGGGCACAAAAATGGCAATTACTTGTGGCATTAAAAGCCATTCTCCCTTTGATCCAGAAGAGGAATCCCTTGTTTTTAGGGAAATCTCAGATCCATATACAGAGGCCAGATCTGGTTCTGAGGCTTCTAGTTAAAACATCATGGCACAAACATGGTGGCATCTTTTGCTACACAACAGGACAAAGATGCTGCTCTTTCAGTGTGATGATGCCTGTTATGGTTTTACCTGGGCTGTGAACCTGTTTACCTACATTTGATTTACAGTACGCTGCCTTCCTCTGTATGTATATTCATCAGAATTTGAATGAAAACAGTTAAAATGTTGTTTTAAAATGTTATTTTGGACTTTGTTTCCTAAACAAAGTCCATTGTTTCTGAAGTCATATAGACAACTGAGGCAATTTATATCATCTATGCCAATTATATCATTTGAGCAATTATGCAAATGACAATTTTACTCCATTTATGCCCATTTACATAATTTGTGTCATTATGCAATCTGCAAATGGCAGAAATTGACTCACAAATGATCTAAAAACTTCAATTATATATTTATGCAAATAACAGAAATTATTTGGGATTTAACAGGTATTCAGATTTAACAAATACCCCTTTCCCCAAACAATCTGTTACGTCATAGTTTTATTGCATTATTTAAAGGACCATTTTACAGTGCTCATTTTGTTCAAAATTCTGCATTAAGTGTCTAATCCATTAGATTAATATTATGACCATCATAACCATGATGTGAAATATGTCCAAACAATAGAAGACAATTGAGGTGACGTATAAACCAGGGCCTTTCCTGTACTAGTATCCTGATTATGAAATACTGATCCAAAGAAAGAGAGACTTGCCCATTATGTGGGCAAAAGCTTTCTTTTGTTCTATGTTATTTGGAGTTTGCTTTGATTCTTTTGCCTGTAAAGTCCTCACTGCAATATTGCTCCACAATTGATTTTTTGGGCAATATATGTTATACAGATACATAGACACAAATGTAAGTTGGAGGTTCTTGTTATTCAGGGAAGCAATAAAAATGCTTCTACAAATAATGAAAACACAATCTGCCAACTATGTTTTTTTTTGTGTGTGTGTGTGTGTGTGTGTGTGTGTGTGTGTATGTGTATGTGTGTACATATATATATATATAAAATAAATTGACAGATAATACTGTTAATATGACTCTGCACTACATCCTTTAACATCTTGAATCTCCAAAGACCCATGCAAGGGTCCTCTCTGTAGACTTTAGCTCAGCATTCAATACCATCACTCCAGATATTATTCTAACTACACTAAATCAGCTAGCTGTACCTGACCACACTTGTAAATTGATCATAAGCTTCCTAATAGACAGGAGGCAGCAGGTGAAGCTAGGCAAAATCACATCAGATACCTGTACAATTAGCATAGCAGCCTCCTAGGGCTATGTGCTCTCTCCACTTTTCTCTCTACACACCAATGACTGCGTCTCAAAAGATCCCTCTGTTAAAGTACTGAAGTTTGCAGATGATACAACAGTGATTGGTCTCATTCAAGACAATGATGAATCTGCATACAGACGGGAGGTTGAACAACTAGCCTTGTGGTGCAACCAGAACAATTTTGAACTGAACACACTCAAAACCGTAGAAATGGTGGTAGATTTTAGGAGAAACCCTCCTATACTACCACCTCTTACAATACTAGACAACACAGTATCAACAGTAGAGACCTTCAAGTTTCTAAGTTCTATCATATCTCAAGACTTAAAATGGACACCTAACATCAAAAATGTCATCAAAAAAGCACAACAAAGAATGTTCTTTCTGTGCCAACTCAGAAAGCTCAAACTGCCCAAAGAGCTGCTGATTCAGTTTTACAGAGGAATTATTGAGTCTGTCATCTGCACCTCTATAACTGTCTGGTTTGGCTCTGCAACCAAACAAGACAGACACAGACTTCAACGGATAATTAGAACTGCAGAAAAAATAATTGCTACCAACCTGCCTTCCATTGAGGACCTGTATTCCATTGAGTCAAAAAGAGGGCTGTGAAAACATCTATGGACCCCTCACATCCTGACATAAATTGTTTCAACTTTTACCCTCAAAATAACACCAGAACAACTAGACACAAGGACAATTTTTTCCCGAATGCCAAACAACTAATTCCCACAACACTGACAAATAATTTACTAAGACTGTATTACTATTATTCTTCTCATCCTTCCTAGTACCTATATCTTCCCACTTATGACTATAACCATGCTGTTTATATCTTTACAGTTTATATTGTTTGTTTCCTAGTATGATTTGATTGCTTATTAGTATAACCTATGGCTATCACTAAGTGTTGTATCTTATGATTCTTTTTTTTTTTATTGAAAAAGTTTTACAAAAACCAATTTTCCCCCTTCCCCCCATCCCTCCCTAACCCCCCTAACCCTCCCCTTCTTACGATTCTTGATGAATATATTTTATTTTTCTTTATGTACAGTGAGAGCATATCCACCAAAGATAAATTTCTTATGTGTCCAATCACACTTGGCCAATAAAGAATTCCATTCCATTCCATTCCATTCCATTCCATTCCACTCCACTCCACTCCACTGTACTCTAAACATTAGTGAAACCCTTGAAATCTTGAAAAATATGT